CAGGGGCCGAGCCGCGCGCCTGCGGCCAGCACCGCGGACAGCTCCGGGCGCGGGCGGGGCGGGGAGCGCGAGTGTGGCTCAGGACTGCACCTGCATCCCGGTTTGCCAGGACGCTGAGCGAGGGAGAGGTGGAGCTGAGTCTGCAGCCCGGCTGCCTGGAGGCACTCCTTCTCCGGGACCCTGGCTCGCCGAGAGTACACGGGAAGGGGTCGGAGGGGAGCAGCCGGGACGGGACACGGCAGAGGTCACCCAACACAGAGGGGCGCGGGGTCGCCAGGACGGGTGGGTCTGAGAGCCGTTCGTGGTCCTCGCGCGGAGTGCACAGCCTGACACGGGAGGGCCCTGAGCTGATGTTGGTAAGCTAAATAACGGGTGCCCTGGGCACCTCATTAAGATATCTTTGCTGAGATGGAAACTGCCGGTGCATTAATTAATAGAATTAACGCCTTTTCCAGTTTCCCCTAAGACTAAATCACATTTAGTCCAATTCCCAGAGTGAAGAAGCTCTGGTGTTGCTCCTTCTGGAAAATTACATCAGCATTTTTGTTGCAAGCACTAAAAATTCTTTCTGTTTTATTGCCAAAATAGTACATGCTCATTTTTTAATTCCAGCTACATAGATATGCATAATATAAAAGTATAAATTCTCCCAGTCCTACCCCTGTCACACTGCCAGGGGTAACCACTTGTAACAATCTGGTGCCTGCCTTTTATACGTTTTGCACACAGATGCACACAATTTACAAAAATGCTGCACACTACATGCATTTTCTGCAAGTTGATTCTTTTATTCCGCAGTACATCACTGACATTATTCCCTGCCCTACACACAGATCTAGTCTACTCCTTTTAATAACTGAGTAGTGATCATGCCACCACACTGTGCCTACATAGTCCTCTCTGGATGGACATGTAATGTCCCTAGTGTTTGCTTTACACGAGCACCCTGGCACACCCCTCGTTGTGAGCTCATGAGGTTGCACACAAATGTCTAAGAAACTCTTAGATGCGGAAGTCCTGGGCGTGGGGTGGGCATTTAAAATGCTGTCAGAGATCACCACACTGGTTTCCAAAAATACTGCACAAACACCCCACATCCATGGCGAAGACTCCCTCTCCAAAGAAAGTTTTGTAAACAACCCTACTGGCACGTGGAAAGACCCTGGACCAAGTGCCGTTTGTATTTCCATACTGGTCCAGGGTCAGGCCTCTCCTGCTGTGGTTGTTATCATTTGTCTTTGTCTTCTGGAACTGCAAGTTCGTTTTGCCATCCCCTGGACACATACAATGAAGACTCCGCTACACCGCTGTTTTCTTGGAGAACCCACCCAGGGTGGCTGCTCCACTGAGTTCCCAGTCCGACCAGAGGGGCTCCCTCAGAACACTCAGCCACCCTGGCCTGGGCAGCAATGGACGTGCTTCATCATCAGAGCTGAGGCTGATTGGACGCCTCCGAGGGTGTCACACACTGAGGCTCCGGCCGAAACAACAGAGCCTGGAAGATGAAAGGGAAAACAATTGGGAAGTCCCGGTGAAGTCAGAAGGATTATCGAATGTCTCCACTGTGAAAGGCACAGACTGGCACTGCTACAGATGAGCTCCAGCTAACCTGCAGAAATCAAAGAATTCCCTGGTCGTTTGTATTAGTCAAGATTTCCCTGAGAAACAGTTGTTAACGTGTGTGTGCGCGCGCGTGCACGCGCGCACGCATACTTGCACGTATGTGCGTCCTGTTTCCATAGAGAGAGGGAGGGAGAATAGGACAGAAGGAAGGAGAAAGAGACAGGGGCCTATTTTAAGGAACTGGTTCATATCGGGAGACTGGCACATCCAAAATTTGCACAGCAGCCTGGAAACCTGGGGAACATCCAAGGGCAGTGACTGCAGATCTTCCTCTCACCCCACAAGGGTCAGGCTTTCTTCTATCCAGGCCTTCAACCGATGGGAAGGCCTGCCCCACCATGGAGAGAAGCCTGCTTTGCTGAATGTCCACTGATTTAAGTGTTAACCTCATCCGAACTGGAAAAAACACAGCAACACCCACAGTAATGCTGGCCACATATCCGGCCACCTGGACCTGGCCAAGTTAACATGTAAAATTAACCATCCTGTTATTGGAATCATTCCAACTTATATAAAATGTGGAAAATTCTAAAATTCATTTTTTCCCAAAATTCCTTTTTTTTTTAAATTTTATTTTATTTTAAAGAGTAAAAGAAGGATAACATAATAATAGGAGGGGCTTACCAAATTACAGACAGAGTGGTAGGAAATTATCAATGGTTATTGTTTTACATATTGTTATCTATAAGATAGTTTCTCAGGAAAGCAAATAGACAAATGATAGTGAGTTACAGACAAAAGAGGTAGGAGATTATCAATAGTTGTTGTACTATACTTAGGTATCTTCAAAGTGGCTTCTAAAGAATATAAATAGAACTATACTTGAGTGACCTAGTGAATAATCACTCAATAATTCTCAATGGTTGTTGTAGGAAACACATAATAATAAACATGGATCCATTTATGAAATAGGATAGGAACAATACAAACATTAGAGAGTTATGGATAGATTAGTAGGAAAATATCAGTGACTGCTGTAATACATGGTGATATCTTCAAAGTGGTTTCTCAGGAAGACAGAGATACACAAGAAGGATCTAACAAGTAGTTACAGCCTAAGGGTTGTCAAAAATCAAGTGAGCCGTCTGGGGCCAAAGCCATTTTTTTTAGTGTTTTCTCTCCAGCCTCCCATCGCATTGGGACCCCACAACCAGTTAGTGTCCTCTCCCCAACTGTCAGCACAGGCAGCAGGAATCCTGCTGCAGACTTCTCTGGAGCTCCACCACAGCCTGTACTGTCAGGGGAAGAATGGCTTCCAGTGAGTCTCTGCAGGTATTGTGCAAGGTCCTCCTGGTTTACAGCTTCCGAGAGGCTCTCGTGACCCCAGTCCACTGGACCTCTGACTCCGTGGGCTTAGTCTGCATTCTCATGTTCTCTGAGTCCTTGTTCAGCAGCTGCTCCTCCGCTGGCTCTGGTCCTTTCTGGTTCTCAATGGGAGAAGCAAGAGTGGCCCGTTGTATGGCATGTATTCCCAGGGGTTGTTCAAAGTTTGAATGATTCACACACATTCATGGGTTGACAACTGCAGTCGGTGCGTGGTGGGCCAATTGTGTCACTGTTTCTCTGTGTCATGATAGACCTCAATTGAGCAGTGGCGGCCGGCCTAAAGGCCAGCGCGCAACAGCGCTCGCCCCCGCATGGCTCCCCATGCACTGGGGACCCTCCCTCCGGGAGCCACGAGGCAGGAAGCTAGCCAGCTGGAAGACTGGCGCTCCCCACCTGTGGCTCCCTGTGCACTGGAAGCCCTCCTTCCAGGGAACAACGAGGCCGGGAATGAGCCGCCGGTCCAAAAACCAGCGCTCCCCACCCAAGGCTCCCCGTGCACTGGGGGGCCCACCCTCCGGGAACCACGAGGCAGCCGAAATTCCTTTTTAAAAGCCAACATTACACTAGTGAAAACAATTCTCACTAGAACTGTGTGGGAGATGACACAGCAGGAAATTTCATTTAGAAAAACTGATGCCAAAAAAATGTTTTGAATAAAATAATATTCAATGGGAACCAAGCCAGTGTATTAAGGAAATAATTGCATTTATTTATTTATTTTTTAAATAATTGTATTTAGAAAACATGTGTAAGTAGAATTTATTCTACAGCTACAGGAACAGCTCAGCTTTAGGAAACAATCTACTACATCAACATGGAAACGAGAAAAACTGATGTTTTTGTTCAAAGATACTTAAAAGGTATTCCATACTATCAATAACCCTTTCTGATTTTTTAAAAAATTCTACATAAAATAACCTTAAAAATACACCAAAATGCACCAAAGACTAAAACACCAAAATTTTGTACCTATTCAAATGAAGAGGGAGGCCGGAGTGCTCACTGTCAAATATTATTGACAATTTCTTTGCCAATTCTACCTAATCGGCCAAGACAAGAAAACACAGTAAGTACGTATTTGTGGGAACAAGGAGGCGGCATTAGCTCTGCTGAGGGCAATATGATCACATACTAAAATATTCCAGACCCTGCAGAAACACAGGAGGCTTTGCTGCAGGATTTTATAGATGATGGGGTGCAGATCCGCATACCAGGTCAGCCGTTCTCCACAAAAGGGTCTCAGGTTGCGCTCCCTGGTTAGGACCAGGCAGAAGCAGCTGAAGTAGACATATATGTGGAGAAGAACATTCTTTAGTTACAATTTTGTGTATTGCCTGAGGCCTGACCAAGCCATGATTGTTGGGTTCTGAGGAAGTCTAGCATAAGCATTGTAAGCCCCAGGATCAATACTAGATGCTTCGCTGAGATATCGGCGAAGGTAGATAACATGATAGCTTACTGGTCAGGTCACAGTGCTATGATAATTGAGTTGCATTGTCCTTGCTAAAACAGTTGATATTCTCCGATTCCTCTGCTGCCTCCTTGGTGGGTTCTAAATAAAAGCTTACTGAAGATGGTGATCAGGAGTCAGTCAGTCCTAGAGGCTGCTAGCACCTGATCACAGGATTTTGGCTCTCTTGGTTTGATTTTTTCTTACTTTTCTTATACATCTGCAGGCACCTAGTTTGGGGGATCTGTTCACCCTGGACAGAGTTGGATGAGAAGTCCAACACATGTATGGGCTGGGGCAGGGTCCTTCCTCCTCCTGGGCCCTAGCTGGTCCTGCAGCCCAGCGCAGATTCAGAGCCGAGCAAGTGCCTGCTGGGTGGGACAGGGCCGCCTCAGAGCCACGTGAGTGAGCTGACAGCCTCTGCCTCGCAGCGGTGCTGC